TAATGATACATTATATCGGAATTAATTTAATAATGCGTTACAAAATCACGAGTTAATGTAATTTAAGAATGCATGAAAAAATCACGGGTGAATGTACCTTTGACACTTGATAATTTATATGCATAATCGGTAAGGGTTGGATGTATCATTTTCCTTTATATAAAAAATGAATTTTTAATCAGTAAAGGACGACACTTTATAATCTATATGCATAATTTGTAAGGGTTGTATGTATTATTTTTCTTTTTTTTTAAAAATAAAAAAATTGAATTTTTTATCAGTAAAGGAAAGCATACTTAACATGCTATTCTTTCTTTAGAGGTTTGTTGGCTGTAGGAGTGATATTTTGCTCTATATTCGTCTTTAATTATTGCTAATTTAGGCAATCTAGCCTCTTGGGCTGTTGGAATACAATTTGGAGTGTGTTTTAGTGTAATAAGTTTTACTTGTTTTGAATTCATATACAAAAATGAGAATAATATAAAGTTTTCTGCCCCTGATCAAAGGTTAACCTTTTTGCGTGTAAGGGTGACAAGGGCTAGAGATGGATCGGTGGATGTTAGCTAGCTTAGTTGGCGAAATTGTGGGCAGTTTCAATACGTGGGTTCATATGCTGTCATATTAGAGCCTATGTTCAATAAATTACAGTAGGCTAGATAATTGATTGAGCCCCGCGATATTATGGTTGTTGATGCTTGTAACTAGACGATCTTTTGAATCTTGAGGTGTTATTTTTGTGAATGTATTTATAAAACAACCTCATCAGTTGAATGTGTGTATATGAATAAGAAAGTTTGTACTACATCGGATTATGAATTAACATTTTATGTAAATTGTGATGCAGAGTGTTCTTGGTATTATACTTGGAGGTGGTGCTGGCACACGTCTCTACCCGCTTACGAAGAAGAGAGCAAAGCCTGCAGTGCCCCTTGGTGCTAACTATAGGCTTATTGACATCCCAGTGAGCAACTGTTTGAACAGTAACATTTCCAAAATATATGTTCTTACCCAATTCAACTCTGCATCTCTCAACCGTCATCTTTCCCGGGCATATGCTAGTAATATGGGAGGTTACAAGAATGAAGGGTTTGTAGAAGTTCTTGCTGCTCAGCAAAGTCCAGAAAATCCAAACTGGTTTCAGGTTTGCTAGTTGTTATAATCTTCTTAGCTACATTGTCCCTACCGTGTCTTGTTTATCTGCCAACATGCTTAATTATTTGATGTCATGTTCTTCTGTGAATCATCAATCTATGATCTTATGATTGCAGGGTACAGCTGATGCTGTTAGGCAATACTTGTGGCTATTCGAAGAGCACAATGTTCTTGAGTTCTTGATTCTAGCCGGTGACCATTTGTATCGAATGGATTATGAAAGATTTATCCAAGCTCACAGAGAAACTGATGCAGACATTACTGTTGCTGCACTGCCGATGGATGAAAAGCGTGCTACTGCATTTGGTTTGATGAAAATTGACGAAGAAGGAAGGATTATTGAGTTTGCTGAGAAACCGAAAGGAGAACAATTGAAAGCTATGAAGGTAGAATTTATAGAAGCAAAATGATCGTTTACAATGCTCATTTATTTTTTATACCTCAGAAAGAATTCTCTAGTCACTCTGTCTCTGACCACTTGTAGGTTGATACCACAATCCTGGGTCTAGATGACGAGAGAGCAAAAGAATTGCCATTCATAGCTAGCATGGGTATTTATGTTATCAGCAAAGATGTGATGCTAAACTTGCTCCGTGATAAATTTCCTGATGCTAATGATTTTGGAAGTGAAGTTATCCCAGGCGCAACTGATATAGGGCTAAGAGTATGTTGTGGTCCTCTCTCATATGTTTTCAGTGTGGGTTTCTTCTGCTCATATTTTGCTTATACTGTATAGGTTCAAGCTTACTTGTATGATGGTTACTGGGAAGATATTGGTACAATTGAGGCCTTTTACAATGCCAACTTGGGTATCACCAAAAAGCCAGTACCTGATTTCAGGTAATCATAATGCATGGAGGATATATGATGTTTTATCAATTTTACTATTGTGATTTTGTATGATATATTCTCAACTTGGAAATTCTAAAGTACCAATCATGTTGTTCTATCTTAAGCTTCTATGATCGTTCATCTCCAATTTATACACAACCTCGGTATTTGCCCCCTTCAAAGATGCTTGATGCCGATATCACTGACAGTGTCATTGGTGAAGGCTGTGTGATTAAGGTAAGAATTTCGCAAGCACCAAGGAAACTGGGTATTCTTACTTGTTGCCACTTGTGATGTTTTTATTTGTAAATTGTATACTACACATAGATATGCTTAATATTTTCTAGATGAAACTGGTGATGTCTTTGCTTTAATTGAATGACTTCCTCTACAGAACTGCAAGATTCACCATTCTGTTATTGGTCTTCGATCTTGCATTTCGGAGGGTGCAATTATTGAGGATACGCTGCTAATGGGTGCTGATTATTATGAGGTATGTGTACAAATGTTCATGATGCTTGGCTGCTGGCCTTTATAAATTTGGTAGCAAACGTTGTACTCCATACTAATTGAAAAAAATATTTACTTTGTTGTTTGGATATGGACCAAAGTTAACTCAGCAATGGTTCAAGCTAGTTTCTCTGCTTTTATCACACATTCAGTGGTTAATTAATGTTATTTAATGATGCAGACTGATGCTGATAGGAAACTCCTAGCTGGTAAGGGTAGTGTACCTATTGGTATTGGGCAGAATACCCATATAAAAAGAGCTATTATTGATAAGAATGCTCGGATTGGAGACAATGTTAAGGTTAGTAGCTCAGTAAAAACTCTCATTTGTACATCTGTATGTGTTTGATTACATTACATTTTAGCTTGCACGTATCTTACAGATTAATTTTACACATCTGAGAGATCAAGCTATACAGCTAAGATTACATGCAAACATTTTTAACTTTATGATGCCAAATTGTCCATATTTGACAATATAGAACAAAGTTATGCCAAATATAGTTAAATTTTTAGTAGTTTAAGAAGCTATTCTTTTATTTTGCAACCTAGGTCACCATTCTTTTACATTTGTCATTTGGCACTAATATGAAATATCTGTCAAAAGTTGAGTTAAATTCGACCTTTCTTTTATTGCAGATTATTAACAGTGATAATATACAAGAAGCAGCAAGAGAAACAGACGGATATTTCATCAAGAGCGGTATTGTTACAGTAATCAAGGATGCCTTGATTCCGAGTGGAACAGTAATCTAATAATGGTTCATATACCAAGCAAAAGTATCTGTCCCACTGCAAGGCCTCTCTACCTCTTGCTTCAATCTTTGAGTATGTAAATATTATGATCTTTGTGCCGATGGACAGAGGTAGTGCTATAAATTGGACTAGAGGATATTAGAAACGGTATTGTAGACATTTTGGCTTCTATAGGCACTAAAAATTTGTTTTATGCCATACCATAATAAATAGTTATCTTGGGTTAGAGGAAGAAAAAAAAAAGAACATAATAATCCAACCCTGTTAACTAGTTTCAGTCTTTCAGATCTAAATCGTGTTTATCTTGGGTCCTTCGTATTGCAAACCATGAAAAATGAGACGTAACCATCTTATATGCCCGACTATTTTTGATAGCTAAGCTTCACCAACTCTACAATTGTTGAATGCCAAGCAAGATTCGGCGTAGTTGATGAGGTTTTCATCTTGTACCCTTTATACCACAAAGTCAAATCGATCAACTACACGTACTTTGGGAGTGTAAAATTCCCTCTTACACTTCTTCCTTCCTTACAGAGGCGTGGCTCAAATCACATATACTAGACCAAAGAAATTGTGTTGAGGGTTTCCCCTGCAAATTAGATGTTTTAATACAATCTTGTTTGCTTTCTCAGTAATGTAACAACATTATTAGCAAGGACAGTGACCAGTATCAACGTTTTATGAATGAATGAGTTGGATGTAAAACTATCTCTCCCCAGCTATGTTGATTTAGATAGGTCAGGCATTAGAACATACATACGTCAATCATAATGTAGAACATACATACATATGTATGTTCTCACTCCCACCCTTGTGGCTCTCTAAACATAAATACGTCAATCAATTAGCGCAGCTGGACTCTATTATGTGACAAGAACGTTTACATCAGCTTCTTCAATTCAACAAGTTTGTTAAAGAGCTTTGTGTGTTATACTTGTATAGTATATAAATTTGTAAAACATGCTGCGTAACATGAGTACTATACTAGGTTTATTTATTTATTAAAAAAAGATTTTATTAAAGAAAAACAGTATTACAACCTAACCACAAACTAATACAAGAACACAAAACAACCTAAAAGAAACACCTTAAGAACCGTTATAGGAAGAACGAAGAGAATAAAATACTGAAAAGGTCTTGCAGCAAACCAATAGCTACGGAGCCCGAACAATCAAGATACCTTAACCACATCCATACTGTGGACATGGAGAAGCCAAAATAACTTAAACAGTCGAGATGGACCAAGAGCACGGATCATAAACATTGAAGAGAACCCAAACTCGCATTGACAACAAAGGAAAATCGAGTACTATACTAGTTGCTTGCACTAAAACAAAGAATAGTAATCCTGCTACGAAAACAAACATAAGAAGTCGGGTGCAAAGTCCAAAAGGCTTTATGAGATCTAGGAAGTCATGCATGTACCCTTAGCTCAATTGTTATTCCATTATAATCTACTACTCCCTCCATCCCTAAATTACATTTCTACTTCTCTCTATTATGTGAGGAATAAATGCTAGAAGTAGGAATGTAATTTAGGGACGAAGGAAGTATAATAACAATAATTAGAAAGTTAGAAAGATAATTGGATACACTTGAGTGATCTAAGTCATCTAACATTGTTGTTGCTCCTGCTACGAGCATTTTTTAATATCAAGAGAAAGAACCCTCAAGGAGAAAGATGGAGTAAAAATGTAGGGTGAATTCTCACTAAAGATTGATGCAACTTATACATTAGATGCACTTGGGTGTAGAATAGACATGTTGTAACACCTGAGCATTGAAGAGCAATTAGCAAAAATTCAAAATTTTACAGACTTGTGTATTCTGGAGAGCATATACAGATCCTATTCCATCTTACTCAGATGAAAAGGCAAAAGACCAACCTCTTTTCTTGACAACCTAAATTTCTACAACCAAATAGTTAGCATTAAGTAGTGACAACGTAGAATCAAAACGTCTGACCCGTATAGTAAGTATTTGTGCTACTATGATTTCATTTTGCATCAGTATTTGCATATCCTTCACCCTTTATCTTCTTCCACTTGTCTTTAAGATCACTTGGAACACGCGTCCCATCAAAGATATGTCGTCCAAATTCCAAAATTTTTACCCATGAGATATTCTTATTAGTTGCCAATGAAAATTTCTGCACACCTTCCTGCAGTAATACATTAAAAAAAAAAAAAAAAAAAACAGTAAATAATTAAATATTTTTATAACAGCTTTTTATTCTGTGATCTATTCACGTCTTCTGTCGACATGTTCATACCTTTCATCCCTTTACTTCAACTTCTACCGAATTCCAGAAGCTAAAATATGTGAAGGATCTAAAGCTAGATGAATCCTAGTGGTCAAAGCACTTTCGTCCAGTCAAACTTCTATCATACAATTGTAGCAAACTAGCAACACTTTTATTATCAGCCCAAATATTCTCAAGAAGAAATCCTTCTGAATATATTGTGAACTTCCTAATTACTGGTGTGGAACGCTTGCATACAAGTAAATCAATTTCTTCAAAAATTGATACAAAAACTGAAGGCACCAGATTGTTAAAATCCTATATTAAGCAGGCTTGCAGATGAGGGTAGACATGTATTACATTGTTCTGTTAGATAAACTATTGTTACTAATTCTATTAACGATGAGGAATATAAAAGAAGTCAATTCCTTCAAATAAGGACTTAAAAGTCGTATGATGAGCTCAGTTGGATTAAAAGATAGGACATGCGTTAAAATGCTTTCTTAGTTTTCCACAGATAACCTCTATATTAGCTCTTAATTTAAAGAGTTCCGTACCTTCAACATTTCTACTTCTTCTGTTGTCCATGGTAACTTCCTACGTCTCGCAGCAGGCAAAATAGTTGACCGCTGGCTGCAAATAAACTGCAAAACCTTAAGTTTATAGCAATGATTTAATGGTGAAACTAAATGTTTATTAGCAAATAGGTAAGAGCTTCATTCACATTATAATGTCCTCTTTATTCTCCAATATGTAATGCTTTAAATAGTTGTATTGCATTGAAATCAAGTTAATACTCTATAGTCTGAAATGAAAGAGTCGAAAATAACTTGGGTAGAGTTAATAAAAGCTAAAAGTAATAGACCAAGTAATCTCACATAACTCACATTTGTTTTATGGATTCCACTTTGTGTCTTGATTCACCTTCATTTTTAGAAATTCCAGACAATTTTCCATGCTGTATATCATTTTTCAAGTTCTTTTGCATTTTCCTTTTCGGCACAGTATAACTTCCTCGCTCGAGGTAAACATTATTAGATGACTCATCTGCAGAGCCAAATTCTTCAGCTGACACAGATAAACTTCCATTTCTTGTAATTTGGGGAGACTTATTTTTTGAATTTACTCTTGAATTCCCGTCATTGGTCATTCCACAGTGGGATGAACTACAATTTTGGACATCAGATTCTACAGCCATCTCTTTTTTGTCATTATTCCTGTTGCTTCGACGTTTTGTCTGTGTCTGCTCCATCTCAACCACTATGTCATGATTCTTCTCCAATGAGTCTTTAGTTTCCGTACGCCTGCTTGCCAAAATTCCTAATTCATGTGTCACTGCTGCATTGTTTTCCCTTGTAGCATCTTGCAGAGCTTTTATTTCCCCTGCACTTCCATAACAATCTTTTTGAGACTCTTCATGTGTCTGCACCTTTTCTACTCGTCCATTGTTATATTGTTCCACTGGCTTTGAAGTTTCTTCAATATTTTTATTTGAATTTCCTGACTTTTCATGTATCACTGTGTCATTATCCTTCTTTGTATAACAGGCAGGTTTGGGTGATTTCAGGATTGTTTGCTCTTCATCAGTCCTTTGACACAGATTTTTCCCTACTCCAACATCTTGACTGTCATTCCCTGTATTTACCATCCTTTGTCTTAGAACAGGGTCGTCATCTTTATATGCATTGTCACACATCCCATCAGGTTTTCCATTTATCATAATAGCATCGTTGTCCCTCATACAGCAAACAGAAGTTTCTTTAGTCTCTTCCTGTGTCTGGATCCTTTCCACCACTCTATCATGATATCTTTCCACAGTCTGTTCAATTTCTAGATACTTTATGGTTGATTCACCAAATCCCCTCTGCGGAAATGAATTTCTCTCCTTCCTCATAGGATACACACCAGTTGTGTTTCTACACTCTTCATGTGTCCTGCTAAAAACTTCTCTAGTTTCATCAGATCGATCAAAAGTGTCTAAAACTTGAGTTTTTACATAACAGCCATCTTGCAATGCAGAATCGTTTCCCTTGCAAGGTTCTTCATTTACCTCCAATGTGTTATTATTAGTCAAGCACCGAGGAGTTTCTTGAGGATCTGTCTGCCTCTGCTCCCTTTCTACCCCTTTTTTAAAACTCCCTGACACTGTCTTTGCAGTTTCTCCATGCTTATTGGTTGAATTTGGTGTCACTAACATAACATCCTCCCTTGTAGGAAGGACAGAACTTTTTGATGGTTTTACTTGTGATTTGTCTGCAATTCCACAGTCTCCAATATCATTACTTTTGCTGTCTGATTTTTCATCATTTTTGGCAGGGGACCCCCTTCTCATACAGTTATATCTTGTTGGCCTTGATTCCTGTTGATTACCAGAAAGTGTCTCAAGAAACGGACAATTATCTTGATGACCACCTTTTAACTGCATAGGCTGATGAACTTCTTTACATTGTACCGTAGCACCATCCTTTTTCTTAAAAACCGATGGTGCATCTGGTTTTTTCCTCTTCAAACTTCTAAAATGTTCTGTAGGCCCAGCATCAATCCTAGTCCTTGTATCTAGAAAATTGATAAGAGCCTTATTGGCCAATAGCACTTTTTCCTTGGCTTGATGACATTCAACAAGGGATTGCTTATATAAACAATATGGGCAATAAAAGCCCCCTGAGTCATCAAAGCGAGCAACAGAGGGCATACAACTCTCATGAACAACTACTGGGCAGTCCCAATTACTACAAACCAACAAATCACCACGTCTGTGGCATTTTAAACAAGATGTTTTCTGGCTCTGCAGTTTCAAAGAAAAATGGTGCTGTTCTCTTGACCCCTGACCACAGAGCACACTTGTTGGAGCAGTCATTTGTTGTTTGCCTTACACAGTCACATCAATCCCTAAATATCACAAGGTAAATAGAAATTTAGTTCAGAATCACAAATGAGAACCAGTATTGGACTAATAAAGGTTTAACTTGACTGAATAGCAACACAGCTAAATAATCAAACTAAAAGCTGTTAAATACAGAAGGTTTTCTTATTCAGTTTTGATAGAAAAATAAACATGGAAGAAATGACTCGCCTAAAAAGGGTGAATAAAAGCATCACATTGTCCACAACATTCTACAAGGTGACAGCAGAAGCATCAATACAAGCTCACTTTATTAATTAATCCATTTGCTAGGTTGCTCAAGTAAACATTTTCTGATTCCAAAATTAATCCATTAGCTAGGTTGCTCAAAGCAAATATTTCAACAGCTATCATACTCCAGCCGAAGATGAAAAAACTACAATTCAGGCCTGTCAACATACCAATTATCTTGATACTAGTTTCCCATTTTGTGGGAAATAAACAAAACCAAAAAAACCTCTCAAAAACCTCACAGCTACTGTATTGTTAGTAGAATTTAAAAGGTTTCTCTTCTAAGTGATAACATTTGTTAATTGGAGTTGGTGTATAGTTCAAGATGTTTAAATGCACAGCATGCACCAATCACCTTAAGCATTTAGTCCCAGTATAGATTAAACTTACTAGTCAAGATCCCAACACAGTTTTTGCTTTAGACTATTCGAGGATAGCAAATTTAGTCTCAGCTAGCAAGTATTTGAATATATTCATGATTAGCTTAACTAATTTATACTTTTTTCCTGTGGTACTAGATCAGGACTTACGCCATTTTAAGGAAAAGATATAATGAGTAATAAAAAATACACTACCACAAGCACCTTAAATACATATGGAAGTCCTTAGAACCAAAGAAAAATTAATAAATGTTCAACTAATCCTCCAGGAGTTTAAATTGTGCGAAAAGGCTTTTGCATGGGTGCATTTTCATCCTTGGAAGTGTTGAGACCATTATAACCCCCCTTGCATTTTAAAGTATCTGATTTCCATTGGAAAATTTAAGGCTCGACTTCTCTATTCTATAAGCCAACACTATAAAAGTGTCCACCTTAAACACCTAAAGTGTCCTTGCTTTTAATATACTCTTTTAAAATGATTGCCATACATAAATAGTTTTAATTTGAAGCAAGCAAATGTGCATTATGCTCAAGCCTAATCAATCATTGCTAACACCGGAAGAAATAAGGGAAGAAATTAAAATTTATTATTTGGTTGAAGCTAGCAACCTCGTGTTGACATGAAACCTAGATGTGCCTTTATATCACAATGTTAGATGAGGATAATCAAGCGTTGTAAGAAGAAAAAAAAAGGCTTACAACTCAAAGCATAAAGCGAGAGGACCCATACGTATTCTCCACCTTGGCTTAACTTCAACATTTAGATCCCTTAATTGAAAAGCTTTGTAGTACCCTTGGATGGAGACAATTCAAACATAAAAGAACAATGAAGGCTAGGTGAGACTTAAACTGATTGACAAAAGAAAATGGCAAGCCTAGTGACCAACCATATCATATCCTAAATTGCATCAAAAGACAATCCTAGAATGAACTCGACAAAGGAGCGCCAAGATGAAGCAAGATAGCATCCAGAAGCCTCATGGTTGGTAAATTAGTTTCTGATAATTCAGTCTCACCTCTCTAGACACACAACCCAAAGATCAAATGTTAAATGCATAAACAATTTCCCTTACAAAGTTACATCACCTAATGGGCTGATGTTCCGGATCATGCCTACATGTCCTTAATTTCAATTCAAAGAAATTTACCAGCAAACTAACAAAACAGATTTCACTAACCTCTAGTAACTGCATTCTTCAGCAATCCTTTGACAAACAGCCGAATGATTCTTTCTAAAGAATCAGGACGATATACTACGTGAGCTATGTAAATCAAGTAGAGCAAACACTCTAGCATGCTTCTGCCTTTCATCTCACCTACCTGTCTCTTCCCTTTTTTTTTTGTTCTTTTTTAATCTTAATCTACTACTACACTTGTTCATAAGTTGTAAGACAACATGTTCATAATTAAAATTGTAACATCTATCCTAATGAAGAGAAAATTCTTTATTTACAACTCACAACATCTTCTCAACCTAATAATCTAGATATGCATCCATATCAACATCAAAGACACCCCAATGTCTCTAAAAGGCGGTTGCTATAGGCAATATGAAGGGTCAAACACAAACAATCAGCCTTCGTAATTGAAATGCGAAAAAGTGGTTTAAATCCAATCAAACACAAACAAGAAATTCCTCCTTATATTATACATTCTGAACATTGCTAAGCTCATGTAAAGGCAAAAAAGTCGAAAATTCCAATGGAAAATAACTGAATTCATCAATCAATTAATTTAATTAACCAACATCAATGAAACAAACGATATAAGGAGGAATTTCTTGTCAACTTTTGACAAGCAAATTAAAATTCTAACAATTTCTTCCCAAATTTTGAAAAATACAGGTAAATTCAAAATTCCGAATGAAGTAAATTCAACACGAATTTAAAACGAGAAATTCCAATGCCAAATTGATGAAAAAAAAAATTACCTCTGAATAAAAGTGGATTGCGAGATAGAGATGAAGCAAATCGGCGAAAACCCGAGGAGAGGCAGCGGCAATGGCAACGGCAGCGGTGGTACGACAGCAGTGGCAGCGGGCATTGAGCGGTAAGTGATAAAAAAGCGAGGGAGTTGGGGAGTTGAGGGTTTGGGAGTTATTATAAAATGAACAATCAAGCACCAAATACAATGAACCTTTACTAATTTACCAATTGGAGACGATTGAGAAAAAATTTAGAAATGGTTTTTTTTTTTATCGAATGAACCACAAGGACAGTACAAATCTAATCTTCTATTTAACTATTACTAAAACAGAACTTTGTTGATATCATAAACCCCCTCCCTGTTCTATGTGTCACTTCCACATTAAAAATTTTCCCGCCATTTTGTTGTATGATGTCATCATTTTTTTTTTGGAAATTTTCACATTTGCTATCAGCGAAAGCACCCTGCTTCACATTTACTACCGCTTTAGTTTTTTATTTTATTTAACTACCACCTAAATCAGAGTTTGTTAGAAATCACTACCACTTAACGGAATCCGTTAAAGTTCAGTTAAATCGGGCCCAATATTTCATTAAATATTAATTTAATTTATTTAAAAAAAAAACTTAAAAAACAAAAAAAAAATCCCCAACCACCGAAACCACCAAACATCCACCTTACACCCTCCCTATGCCGGTGCCCAAACATTCCCCTGACGCAGCCGAACCCCTAGACCACCACCACCGACACCACCGTAACCCCCAAACCTGGCGACGCCCCATATCACCACCACGACACCACCCTAAGCCCCAAACCCAGACCACCACCACCCACAAACCCACAGAAACCCACGAACCCAGACCACCACCCACAGAAACCCACGAACCCAGACCACCACCCACCGAAACCACCACCTCCACCATTTCTCAAACTCCACGCTGCCCGAAACCACCCTAAACGGGTGAAAACGAAACCCTAAAACCCGTTTTGGGTGGTTTCGCAGAGTGGGTTTAGGTTATTGGTAGCGGTTTTTGGGTGGGAGAAGGGGAGGGGATCGATTCAGGGGGAAGTGGACCGGAGTCGTTCCCGGTTGGGGGAATTGGTGGCGAGGTGATTGCGGCTGTTCGCGTGGTGGAAGGATGGGTGCATTGTTGGTGATTGTGTGAAGGTGAAGAGATGATGGTGGCGTTTGGGAAGGAGGTGGGCTGCTGGTGGAGGTCGCGGCTGCTGTGGGCTTCTTTGGGCGCCGGTGTTGATGGGAAATGGAGGTTGGATGGTGACAATGAGGGTGGTTGAAGATGGAGCGGTGGCGGCGAGGTGGTTGGACGGTGGTTGGGCTCCACTAACGGGAATAGTAACGGCATTAGGCAAATGGTAGTGATATCTAAAATTTTGGGATTTGGGTGGTAGTAATATAAAATAAAAAATTAAAGCGGTAGTAAATGTGAAGCAGGGTCTTTTCGCTGTTAGCAAATGCGAAAATTTCCTTTTTTTTTTTAAAAAAAAAAAAAAAAAAAAACTACAAGTTGCATCAAATTATAAATATTGTATTAGATAAGATAATAGATGCATACTATAAACTATAAATACGGTTGTATCAAATTGCATAACAAATTGCATTAGATAAAGTTTGTTTTGGTGTTGGTTGCCTATAATTACGTAGCAATCTTTCAAATTGTATATTGTTCTAAATTCAAGTATTATACACTATTAGATAATTAGATAACATCCATTAGTTAAAGTTTGTGAGGATAAGTGTAAATAATAATAATAATAATAATAATAATAATAATAATAATAATGATAATAATAATAATAATAAAAACAATAATTTTCCTATGAATATGAAACTTTATCTAATGCACAGTTAACCCTTTTTGTAGATCATCTTCTTCATTTTTTTTTTGAGGGAAGATCATCTTCTTCATCAGTAAACCCTTTTGATCAATTATTTTATGAACTGGGTTTAGCAACAGATTTTCAAAAGTTAAGTGTTGGAAATTCCAATGTTGTTGGACAATTTCATAGAGATTCGAATGTTTTTAAGGGGAATGAATGTAATGTGACCGAGAATTTTGAGGTTTTAGAGGGTTTTAATGGGTTTTCTGGTAATAGGGAGGGTTTCAATCTTCGGTGCACAGACTTGAGAAGGGTGTTAAGGGTTTTAGATTGGGGAGGATTGTAGGGAATTATAGGTACTACGCGGCGGAAAAACATGAATCATATTCATACAGTACCTAATCCCAAGATCTAATGCATAACACATAAAGAACATATAATCATACCTTTGAAGCGTGATTCCACGTGCGATCGAGCAAGAACATTGGGAGATAAAGAACCTCAAGCGCGATTCCTCTACTTGGTCCACGGGCACAGCTTAAGACCTCTACTAATGCTAATTAGTTGCAATTGAACCCTTCAATTGACCTTCTATGGAGAAGTGCGAGCAACGAACCACCATGAACCACCACGAACCACCACACGCGCCACCAAGGTGGCCGGCCATACGGACGAGGGGAGGAGAGAGAAAGCCGTGAGTTAGAGAGAGGAATTAGGGTCTTTGGGATTGGTTGCCTTGATGTCAAAATACACTGTGTGTGAATTATGACTCCTTACTTGCAACCCTAGGCATGGATCTTATTTATAGATCTCATCTCTAAATAAGAGCCCATGTCAAAAGCCTAAAACCTAATTCTAATCTAACTATGCTAGCCCAATCCATTTCATGATTAATTAATTGCTCATGAGGCCCATTAACGGGCCTCTAACTTGCTTAACCCAATACCCTTGTGTGTGACCTCATAGGATCCATTCTAGCGGGCTTTGGACCATTTGACTAGCCTAAAGATCATCTCTCATAGTCTAGCAACAGATGATGCCTCAAGAGAACGAACTTATTATCTCCATAATAGTGATCCTTGATATATCTAGTAATTGCACTTATCGAAGACACAACTCCTTCAATCTCCCACTTGTCTGAGACAAGTGCGCAATATTCAAATTCCTTAAGTCAATTTGTGCCGATTTGATAATATGATTGCATCTCATGTCGTGATCATATTAGTCTACAAATCTTTTCTTGAAAAACTGAGTGAGATTCACAGAACAAATGATTACTATGTAATGCATTTGAGCACGGCCATGCATTTTTCTGAATTCTCCCTCTTCAAGGGGCCAAGATACATTCCTAATTAAATAGGTAGACTCAATCCAATCTTATGGCAACCAAAGCTCCCACTCAACTTTTGAAGTAACCGGGAAACATCCTTTATAATCTCCAGTTACGGGCAGACGTTTGAATGTACCACAGTCAAATCAGCCATTGAATGGAATCAGTGTTCCACTCATGTCAAAGGAATCCACTAATAAATCCGGAAGCTCTATACTTGAACTTCAAAGTAGGTCTATAGTTCGATCATGCATCATTCATGCATATCCATGTGATTGACCGAGCTTCACTACGCTCCTATAGCCCATGAAACTGCGCTATCCAATCAATCTTACATGCTAGTCCATTAATTGAAATCATTTATGTCCACTTTAATGATTTCAAACTAGGAACTTAAATAATATATGAATTTAGTTCACTTGTGGGGTTCCATTCACCAGGTCATCAACCTGATGAGCCCATCAATTCGTAATTATTTTGGACATTTTATTTAATCTTGAAACCACGATTAAATAAGATTGAAACATTGTTTCAATTGATAAACATAATTTTGCAAATGAATGTATTACATATGTAACTTGTTTTTCTCCAAAAACAAATATAACTTCTAATTACATCATTTGCCTCAATCCAGTTTCATTAGCATGTATCTCATGCTTTGGAAATGGAAGGGGTTTACTAAGTAAAGTTCATGAGACATTCTCATAAACATGAATTTTACAATTTCTAAATTTTAATAATATTCATCTCTATACACTAAGAATCTTCTTTAATCCCTTTACTAGGAATTTTGGAATTTCTAATTTGTATTCCAACATCACATTGGATTTCGATTGAAACCTATTATCACTTGTTCTAAAAACACGTAAATCAAATAGACGAGTATAGTCCATGGCATGCACGATGCATCCTTTGCGAATTGCATAAGGATCATCACTCAAAACCTTAATTTCATCAACCTTTCTCAAAGCATTGAATCATTAAGCAACGTGCCATATTACATGGGATTGAAACTCCTTTCAATATAATGTTGAACCTTATGAGAATCTTATCAATATAAGCTTCATAACCAAACTCAAACATCCTTCGAGACCTATCTCTATAGATCTTGAATCCAAAATGTACTCATCTTCTTCTTCAAGGTTTTTCATACAAAATGCATTACCCACCACTTGACTCTTCATGCAATGAATAATTTGCTCTTTATACTAGACCAAGAAGACCTCATAGCTCCCACTAAACATCTTGTACACACAAGACCTTTTCTTCATTTTACGAGAACATCAAACGATTTGATTAACTCACAAAATTAAGAATATTAACTCCCAGATGCTAACTTCAATCCATTAATGCTTTTATGCATCCCTATGATTATTTGTTTTCAAAACCATTATGATTGTATCGTATACAAATCTTCTTTCATGAACAATTTCAAGAAAGTGTTTTGAAATCCATCTACCAAATCTTATAAGGTAGTAATCACTAAAATATCTTTAATAGATCTTTGCAACATGACTAATGTAAAGTTTTCGTCATAGTCATAGTCATACTATGAATTAGTTGAATCCTTTAAATAGTCTTTGCTTACTTAGAAAACATTTTTCTTTCTTGTCTGTTTTTCTTATAATGGGTCTCACCCAATTAGGCAAATTATTCAAGTGTCATACACTTGCTTAGAGATTTAGAATCTATTTCAGATTTCCTGGTTTTTAAACCACTTGGAGTTATAACTTGTCAAATCATCTTTGTTACTTGCATAATCATCATGTTCCAAAATAAATATTTTAGAACTCTTAGTCAATATGAAATCATATTTCTTTGGCTAAGTTTTACATATGCTAGTCATCATTGTGGGTTTTTATGCAACAATTGAAACTCATACAATAACTTTGTTTAGTTTTCACTAAGAAACGACAATTGAGGATGTGCACTTGGAATGTACTACCTTCGACACATGGTTATTATTCCCATTACACTTAATGAGACCATGCGTTGTCACTTGTAACATGAGGTGAATCATGCTCATATTGTTGCTTTTATTCGATTACTTCTCAAATTTGTTCAAGAATTTCGAAATCATTTTTCTTAAACTCTTTCAAGGCTCTCGAACTTTTCAAGATTCTTATACTCCCACTTGCCTTTTTGAGGAGGCACTTTTCAGCATAGGGTGAACCAACCATGGTTTGAACCATGTTTGTTTGTTGCTTTTCTCGAACTCTGTCAAGATTTACACTACTCCCACTTGACCTTTTGGAACAATTTCCATAAGGGCACCTACTTGAGCAACAAACATTTTGTGCTAAGTATGATTTGTGTAGTAGTACCCCGTGCTCTGTGTAGGAATTGATCGTGCATTAAACGCTTTAATACAATATTTATTCCTTGCTTTGTAGAAAGACTTTATGAGAACTCTTCTTATCCATATCATATATGGGGTCTTTGCTACACTTGATTTGACATATATAGTTTGTTTAGTTTTGTAGCTTATCTTAAAAGTATATCCCTTGAACAATGGTTGGAAGATAGGTAATTTTCATCCATTATCAAAATATATATTATATATATTGATAGCTCCCTTCATAAACACTTCACAAGGTTTTCTTTCGGAGTTTGTTGTAAAACGATTTCACAACTCTTGGATGTTCATCAAGGTCTTGGCTTAAATTCTCATTATTACGATCATATCACAATACTTTGGATGTGTTGCCAAGTATATGTCTTGACTTAAATTTTCACAATTACAATCATATTGTAATGTAATTATTATCTTGTCAAGTTGATACTGAACTTCATACTTCATTTTGAACTTTTTTAAAATTTTCACTCTTATGCTTCAACTAAGCACAAGTAGTGATTGTATCACAAATGAAGTTTCATTGTTCGTCTCTAGCCTTCGAACCTTTGGTTTTCTTACATCGATATGTATTCGACCTTGAGTTCTCATCATCATTTCTCTAAATGGTGACTTTGTCAATAATTTCAAATTAGAATGATATTTACATATATCAATGGATTCATAATCCAATGATATTGAAAGTCCATCCCTTTGGATCTTCCGCATGCAATGTTCATTTTCATTCGAATTTTTGACATTTTAGAGACAATTTATATATATAGAAATGGTTTAATTATTTCTATCATATAGAACTTTGAACCTATTTAGCAATATCAAAACACATTATAACTCTGAAGCATAGAATGACATTTATTCCACGTTTTTGAATCTTCGATGCATAGTCATTACAAACATTGAATGGTGTTTTGATAATGGCAAGAGAGGATAACATTTATTTAATTCTAGCCAATAACAAGGTAAGGTGAAATATAGGCTCTACTTGTAAAGTTGCAACTTTTGCTTCCAGACTCGTAGACTCTACTTGTGAAGTAGAAACATTTGCTTCTAAACTTGT